GCTGTGGGTCAGAATCAACTCCACGGCAGTGGGTGTGGTTTGGGCTTTGCTTCTGTGAAGACTGACAGCCTTGGAGACCCTGTGGGGCAGTTCCACTCTGTCCTCTAGGGGCGCTGTGGGTCAGAATCCACTCCAGGGCAGTGGGTGTGGTTTGGGCTTTGCTTCCGTAAAGATTGACAGCCTTGGAAACCCCGTCAGGCAGTTGTGTTCTCCCACATGAGATTACCATGACTTGAAAATCAACTCAACAGCAAGGTGATTGGGAAGTGGTTTGTTATTGTTGTTACGTGGCATCAAGTAGGATCTGACTCATAGTGACCCCTCCTTGGGTTTCCGAGGCTGTATCACTACGGAAGTAGATTGCCCAACCTTCCTTCCAAGGAGTGGCTGTTGAGTTTGAACCGCCAGCCTTCTGGTTAGCAGTTAGGCGCCTTCGGCACAACGCCACCAGGCCTCCTGTGGTACGCAGTGCAAAATATAAAATGAGAAAGAAAGGAAGGGAAGACTAAGAGAATGAACAACCGTTGTCTGGTAGATTTAACCACGGTCTCTCATCCACTGACCCTCATGAATACTAGAACATGGTGGACGCCGTATCCTGAGTGTGGCCCTCGGCCTCTCGGCGAGCAGTCCCGCTGTTGGGGTTTCTCCTTCTACATGGTTGGATTCAGATCTCTGAGCAGTTCACTGCATTCCCGAGAGACTCAGGGTCTTACTGCTAAAGAAAACATTGGAGGCCACTGACCTTGGAGTATTTTGGGACATTTCCTTCCTGAAGCAATATAATATTCTGTGAAGCTGATATTTCGTGAACTCATCGGTGTAGAAGGCAGTGATGCGGCGTCAAGTCCGTCTGAGTCCACACACGGTCCATCCGTGTCTGGGGTCCTGACGAGCTGGAAAATGTCGGGCCACTCAGCCTCCAGTAGTAGTCAGTGCTCAGTTATTGATGTGCTCATATGGCGTGTATCTTTTGAACTCTTCAAACGTTTTTGGGATAAAATTAACACTGTGAGCCTCGCCAACATGCCCACTGGCTGGGGGATTGCTGCTGTGACCGTCAGCAGTTTTCCCAGAGCCTTAGTGGCTCAGAGGTTTTGGTGCCCATTGCAATGAAACAAGGTGTGTGAGCCCTGCTGTTTCTCTTCTCAGATTCGCAGTTTCCCATCAACATTGTGGCTGTCAAGAAGGATCATGATTTTCTTGAAAAGGACCTTGTAGAACCTCTTTGCAGGTGAGACATGTGAAGTGCCTTTGTCTTTCAGTTCTTCAGTCGCGGGCGTAGGGGTCGCTCTGCTCGGGGGGGAAGCCAGCCCAGCACTCGCTATGGGACGGCTGTCCTAAGGGTACAAAGATCCCAATTCCCTCTCCTCAGAGAGTTGATAATCTGGTAGAAGGAATCCAGTTGAGGACATAAGGTACGAATACATGAACAAACAGGGGACAACCGTCATTTCAGTATTAACAAAATGTCAGTGTAATCCGTGTCCCCGCACAGTTCAGTGTTGCATGAGAGACAGCAGTAGTGTTCAGCAGCAATTTGAAGTTATCTAACGATAGCTTTGGGAGCTCTGGTGTTGTAGTGCCTAAGGCACTTGACTGCTGATCAGAAGGCTGGAGGTTCAAACCCACCAGCCACTCATTGGAAGGAAGGTTGGGCAATCTACTTCGTAGTGATACCGCCTCGGATACCCAAGGAGGGATCGCTATGAGTTGGAGATGACTTGATGGCACATAAAAACAACATCACTATGGAAATAGGTTGCCCAACCTTCCTTCTGAGGAGGGGCTGGTGGGATTGAACCAACAGCCTTCCGGTTAGCAGTCCAGTGCCTTACGCACTACGCCACCTTACCACCTCAGAAACCCAAGGAGGCGTCTCTATGAATCAGATCCAACTCAACAACAGTGAGTTTGGTTTTGGTTTTTGGTAATGAAAGCTTTGGAGAAAAGTGAGAGCTGGAGAGAAAGAATAGGTTGGCCAACGGGAGTTAGGTTTCCCAGGCACACAGCTAGGTATGGGCAGAGCTGATGGAAAGTGTGCGTAACATTCCATCCAGTGGTCTTTCTAGTAGATTCTGCATTTGCCATAGAAACATGGTGCTGCATGGAGGAGGTAAGGATGAGCAAAGCTGTTGTCACGAAGGGGAGACCTTCCCTGTTACAGTGTTGTTATTAGTGGCCGTCACGTTGATCTCGACTCACAAGGACCCTGTATGACAGAGTAGTACTGCCCTGTAGGGTTTTCTAGGCTCTAATCTTTATGGGAGCAGATCCCTCAGAGCCATTGGTTGGGTCCACACTGCCAGCCTTTCAGTTAACAGCCAGGGGCTTACCCACTGCCCCCCCAGAACCCACTCATGTTAGAATACTGTGAAGATGATCTTAGACTTGCCTAGTCTGGTGACACATATATATTCTTGTCTTCATAAGACGGTCTCTCTAAGGTCCCTTAATTGTACTCATGAGGAACCTATACCTAAACCAGGAGGCTGTCGTTCGAACAGAACAAGGGGACACTGCATGGTTTAAAATCAAGAAGGGAGTGTATCAGGATTGTATCCTTTCTCCACACTTATTCAATCTATATGCTGAGCAAGTAATCCGAGAAGCTGGACTATATGAAGAAAAATGTGGCATCAGGATTGGAGGAAGAATCATTAACAACCTGAGATATGCAGACGATACAACTTTGCTTGCTGAAAGTGAGGATGACTTAAGGCACTTACTGATGAAGATTGAAGAATGCAGTCTGCAGTATGGATTGCACCTCAATATAAGGAAAACAAAAATCCTCACAAGTGGACCTTTAAGCAGTGTCACAATAAATGGAGAAAAGATTGAGGTTGGCAAGGACTTCACATTGCTTGGTGCTACAATTGACGCCAATGGAAGCAGCAGTCAGGACATCACACGACGTATAGCACTGGGCAAGTCAGCTGCAAGGGACCTCTTTCAAGTGCTGAAGAGAAAAGATGTGTCCTTGAGGGCTAAGGTGCGCCTGACACAACCCATGACATTTTCAGTTGCCTCATACGCATGTGAGAGCTGGACAATGGATAAGGAAGACTGAAGAATTGATGCTTTTGAGCTGTGGTGTTGGTGAAGAATGCTGAAAGTACCGTGGACTGCTAAAAGAACTAACAAATCTGTCCTGAAGGAAGTGCAGCTGGAATGCTCCTTGGAAGCAAGAACAGCCAGACTCCCATCTCACTCACCTACTTTGGTCATGTTGTCAGAAGGGACCATTCCCTGGAGAAGGATGTCATGCTTGTTAAGGTGGAGGGTTGATGAAGGAGGGGAAGGTCCTCAACGAGAGGGATTGACAGGGGCTATGGCGATGAGGTCTAGGACAGCAGGGATTGTGGATGCGGCGATGGGGTCAAGGATAGCAGGGATTGTGGATGCCGCGATGAGGTCAAGGATAGCAGGGATTGTGGATGCCGCGATGGGGTCAAGGATAGCAGGGATTGACAGTGGCTACGGCGATGAGGTCAAGTATAGCAGGGATTGCGGAGCTGCCACAGGACCAGGCGGTGTTTCATTGTGATGTGCATTGGGTCAGACTCAACGGCACCTAACAAAAACAACTAGGGTTCCTACATGAGGGAAAATATGTTAAGAAATGGTTTCTGCCTCAGATAAGCAAAGCACTATTGGAGAAGAGGAACAAAGTAGGAAGTCTTACACCACTGGATCTCAAAACCTACTTTACAGCCACGGTAGTCAAAACTGCCCGGTATTGGTACAATGACAGACACATAGACCAATGGAATAGAATTGAGAGCCCAGAAATAGATTCATCGACCTATGGTCAGCTGATCTTTGGCAAACAGCCTAAACCCATTAAATGGGAAAGAGAATGTTTAATAAATGGTGCTGGCAAAACCGGAGATCCATTTGCAGAAAAATGAAACAAGATCTGTACCTCACACCATACACAAAAACTAAATCCAGATGGATCAAAGACTTAAATGTGAAACTTAAAACTATACAGCTTCTCAAGGAAAAACTAGGGGCAAATTTAGGTACCTTAATATATGACATAAATAGACTATCAAGCATAACCCCAAATGCACAAACAGCAGAAGAGAATCTAGATAAATGGGACCTTCTAAAAATTAAATTTTTATGTGCTTCCAAAGACTTCTCCAAAAGAGTCAAAAGAGAACCTACAGATTGGGAAAAAAAATATTTGGCAATGACATATCTGACAGGAGACTTATCTCTAGAATTTATAGAAAACTCCAACACCTCAATAACAAACAGACAAATAATCCAATCGAAAAATGGGCAGAAGACATGAATAGACACCTCACCAAGGAGGATATTCAAGCGGCCAACAAACATATGAAGAAATGCTCACGATCATTAGCTATTAGAGAGATGCAGGTCAAAACAACAATGAGGTACCATCTTGCTCCAGCACTAGTAGCAAAGTTCAAGAAGATAGAAAATAAATGCTAGTGAGGTTGTGGGAGATATTGGGACTCTCATACACTGCTGGTGCAACTGTAAAATGGTACAACCATTGTGGAAAGCAGTATGGCGATTCCTTAAAAAGTTGGAATTAGAAATATTATTTGACCCAGCCATTCCATTACTTGGTATATATCCTAAAGAAGTGATAGCCATGACAAGAACAGACTTATACACACCCATGTTCATTGCAGCACTATTTACAATAGCCAAAACATGGAAACAACCTAGGTGTCCATCAACTGAGGAATGGATAACCAAACTATGGTACATACACACGATGGAATACTATGCAAACCTAAAGAATAACATAGAATCTGCAAAACACCACATAATGTGGATGAACTTGGAGGACATTATGCTGAGTGAAGTAAGTCAATCACAGAAGGACAAATAATGTATTAGTCCCTTATTGTAAAAGTGAAGGAAACATTTATCTATGGAAGGAGATTTTCTTTGTTGGTTACCAGGGGTGGGAGGGGAGGGGAGGGAGCACTGTTAGATAGGTAGAGGTAAGTATTGATGTAGATGAAGAGAAGGGCAATGTACCAAATGTGAGTGATCGACATGGTGGCATTGAGGAAGAGAAAGACATAAAGAGGTACATGGGAGGTACAGACAACAAAGATGAATTCTTTTGCACATACAGTACTGCGTTGTCAGTGAAGGCAAACATGGATATACGGGTGGATAGATGGGTGGACAGGCTGAACTAGTAGGTATGTCTATGAAGCAGGAAGTGTACCCAAGACCATGTATAGGGTTGGTAGACAATGGTCCTACAAGTGTATTTGTATGATCTGTAAGAATCCCCAGGTGTATAGTAGAGTTGAGAAGGGACAAGATTGTAGTCACTTCTTGGTCACAGCCAGCTTCCCAAGGGGACAGAGTGATTGAACCAGTGACCTCAGGACCATAGTGGCAGGGGACATCAAGCTCAATTGGCATAACATACTACACAAAACATTGTTCCATCTCCTACTTTGGTGAATAGTGACTGGTATCTTAAAAGCTTACAAGCTGCCATCTAGATGCAATGATGGGTCTTTCCTTGTCCTGACCAAAGAAGAATGAAGAAAACCAAATATTCATGGAAACAATTAGTCCTAGTGACTGGTACGCCATGCGATCTGCAGCCTATACGACTATGAGACCAGAAGAACTGGATGGTGCCCGGCTACCACTGTCATCCACTCAGAGGGGGATCTATGTAGGAGATCTTTGAGAGGGAGAACAATGTGGAACCAAACTCAGAATCATCTGGGGGGAAAAAGAAGGGGGAGACCAGATTTGCCGGTCTGACAGCCTGTTGGAACCACTGAGACTATGGCCCCTAGCTGCCCTTCAGGTCTGAAACTGAACGCACACCTGTGGCTTCCAGCCAAACAGAAGACAGGCATATGAGTTGAATATTTACCTGAGGTAGATACACTCCTTGGAGAGAACAATCATGGGAGAAAGAAGGGCTGTGTATGCAAAGGGGGACAGCTCAGGGGGCAGGAGTGCATGGAGAGGACACAGGGAAGTAGTAACTACTGAGAGGAAGTAACCACACCACTGCCATGGAGTCGATTGTGACCCACAGCGCCCCTAGAGGACAGAGTGGAACTGCCCCACAGGGTCTCCAAGGCTGTCAGTCTTCACAGAAGCAAAGCGCAAACAACACCCACTGCCCTGGAGTCAATTCTGACCCACAGCGCCCCTAGAGGACAGAGTGGAACTGCCCCACAGGATCTCCAAGGCTGTCAATCTTTACAGAAGCAAAGCCCAAACCACACCCACTGCTGTGGAGTCCATTCTGACCTACAGCGCCCCTAGAGGACAGAGTGGAGCTGTCCCAGAGGGTTTCCCAGGCTGTCAATCTTCACAGAAGCAAAGCCCAAACCACACCCACTGCCTGGAGTCGATTCTGACTCACAGCGCCCCTAGAGGACAGAGTGGAA